GGGGTCCGTGCAGGTGGTTTCTTTTATTGTGCACGAGCGTACCCGTCGGGTTTATGGGAGCCCGGCGGAGTTAGTTAGATTGCTTGTCTTTGTTGCCTGTACGCTCGTGTACATACCCCCCCATTTACTACTCTTTGCACTTGATGTGACCCTTTATTTGCATTTCAGTTCACTTTTGCTTATCTGGCTCAGTCGGCCTATGATGCCTACTGGGTACCGGTTGTTTTGGTACTCATGCTACGCTCTGCATCTATTTCGTGATGCAGGTCCGGGCACTAGTAGCCAGCGTTGATCGAGCTTGGAGCAGTCTGATCCGGAGACGGGGGTGAGCACACGGCGTTTTGTACTATTTCAGTCTCCATCTGTATATATAGACTTGTCTTTTACCTTTCGAGACAGTCCAGTCTCTGTTGTCCACTTTTGGGACTTGTACTCATTTTGTTAGTAGCTCTGTACTAGTGACTTCCAGGTTCTGGGAGGGATCTTTATTTGTATATATATTTTTGGTTTGCTTCCGCCTGTTTATATTATTATTTGCCTACTCTTGTTTAGTTTCTACCCTCAGACCCATTACTTGTTGTTCCGGGTTATGGGTTGGCTTACCTACTGGTGGGTTATAGTAGGTGCCATCATGACTTGAGAAATCGGGTCGTGACAGTTCAGCAATTGCCAAGAGAGCTGAAGCTTTTGGATGTTCAATCAGTTACCATTCACGTTCACAAAAATCAGAGTCAACGTACACTTATTATTCACGTGTTATCGACTTGGCCTCCAATTGCCAGATCCTTGTCGTTGCTTGTGCCTTAACTGATGAAACTCACCACATCATCAACCGTGAAGTTATAGATGCATTGGGTCCAAATGGAGTTGTCATCAACATTGCAAGGGGTTCTCATATTGATGAACCTGAGCTGGTGTCTGCTCTTGCAGAAGGCAGGTTGGGAGGAGCAGGGCTTGATGGTCTTGAACATGAACCGGAAGTGCCTACGCAACTAGCTAGTCTTGATAATGTTGTACTATCACCTCATACTGCAGCAGGCACTGTGGAGACCCGTAAGGAAATGGCTGATCTTGTCATTGCAAACTTGGAGGCATACTTTTCGAACAAGCCATTACTAACTCCTGTTCTTTGAGACTTTCTGGTAAAGGTCTGATGATCGTGGAAGTACTAGGATGGGTGATCCCCGGGAAATCCTCATGTAGTCGTGTTGCCTCCCTCCTTTTGAGTTTTGGATCCTATTCATGCAAAGACTTGGTTATTTTTGGTTATAAAGAAAAAATCTGATGATCTCAGACTTGGTCATCATTGATTTTTCTACTTTCATATGTCGTTTTGTAACATGCTAAGTATGTGATGAATCTATGTTGCTTGGAACATCCAAAAATGTTGTCACACTCGTGTTAGATGGCTTTTGGAGGATCTGACACACAACCAACAGTAGTTTGAAGAGTCTATTGTTGCTAAATGCCAATGAAAAGGTTGATTTGTATAGATGATTTTGTTCTCATACTGGTTCAAGGTAATGTAAAACTTGAGCCCTTGTACCTGTTGTTTTCAGATTCTCAGAAAGAGCAGGTTTGGATCCACCACAGATGGATGTGCTTGCTAACACCTCAAGAGGAAAATATAAATGAACCTGAACCATGCCAATTGGTCCCAAAGTGTGCGCAAGTTGGTCTAGACACCATCATTATTAGAAGTATAATATAATCAGTGTAATTCATATTTCAGAAATCTAACTTTTCATTCCAAGTGGCGACAAATTCTGTCCTCTTTAAGGATTCAAAAATTTCTCCTTGATATGTATTGAGAAAGCTCTTTGATACAATGGGCATGAGTTTAATAAGGGAAACAAGATATGCCCATATTCATCTCATTTAACTTGTGCAATATAAACTACTAGCTTGCATCTGGTGCATGCGGAAATTGGCTAAAAAAATTACAAATTCCCACAAGTCATAGCAATGAAAAATTTAAGCTAAAGAGTAATTACAAGTCCTGTTTTCACAATCAAAAGCTCATTAAGTAGAAGTGGCTCCTTTGAAGATGAGGAAGTTAAGAGTCTCCAAGGTGAAATAGATAAATGTTCCTTTAGTATGAGTGAAGAAACATCCAAATTTTGATCCCACCACACACTGCCAGCCACCCCCATATTTCTTGTCAAACTCCTGCATATGCATACCAATAAACTTTCATAAAAAATTGAATGAAAACTCGAAAAATTTACTACTTTTTATTATATCTTTTAACCATTTTCCACAACATTCACGTCTCAATCTGTGTGATTGTCCCTCTTAATTATATCTTTTTTTCCCTCACGTGTGAAGAATAAAAATTCTTTTTGATAACAAATGGATTAATGAATTGCAGTCAAAACATTTGCATACTAAGAAAATGTACCTTTGACCTAATTCAATTCTAAAAACTAACTCATAATGTGATAAAATGGCAACAACAACAACAAATCCGGTGAAATCCCCGTGGTCTGGGCAAGTTAGAGGATACACAGACCTTACCACTATCTCACAAGGAGAACAACTCATATGAATGTAGAACAATCAACAGCCTGCACTTCCAGGATTGGACTGGAAGGTGTATGAATATAATTTAAACAAATAACATTCCCTAAACAGTTTAAACTTTTAGATTGGTCACACAATTCAGTTCAAAGACACGCAGATTTACCTTCTTAATATGAGCAGCAATGGATCTGTAGTGCAAAACATCATAAACATCCAAAGCTTGAGAAGCCCAACGCATAGCCTGGATCTGCATCTTCACTGGCATATCTGTATCTTCAATCACACCTTTTCCTTCTAACATTTTGTCTATTGATCTGAAGTAGAAGATCCCAATTTATACACTATTTTTGTTGTTTAAAAGTTCAAAATTAAGATATGAAAGAATGAATCTTCCCCTTTCTCTTTCTCTAAGCAAGACTAAGAAAAGTCGAGAGACAGGAACACTAGAATTGATTTTCCAAAACCCCTTTTTTCAGCAAATGTTTGTAATGGTGACTATATTTTATAAGCATCTTGGTGCTGACACATACCACCGTGTCTTCTTCCTTACTCACCTAAAACACATTTTAACGTTGTTCTATTTTTTGAATAGTCTCTCTCTTTGTCATGCCCTAGTTGGATAATGATAAAAGATGATAAGGACAAACACAGTCTCCGAAGCAGCCTCGATTAAATTTAGATCACACTATAGGGCTCATTAGGTGTATGAATTTTTTCATATCCAGAGCTCTTGAACCTGAGATTTTAATTACACTCTGTTTGGATTATTATAATTCATTATTTCATAATGTACTATATTGTATTGTATTGTATTGTACTGTATGATAGATACAATATTTGGCTAGACGATATTGTTTGTTGTTGTTTAAAAATATTTTTATTGTTATTGTACTGGTATTGTAATTTATAAATTTACTAAAATATTCTTAATTATTCTAGGATAAGAGGTTTGACTAGAATTAAATAATATAGGTTAACGGGTAAAAAAGTATTATGAAATATTATGTAAGGATATAATTAGAAAAATAAATTAAGTAACAATGGGAACACACCAAATCGGTTGTTCCATGAAATGAGTGTTTTCATTATTATGTAACAACGAAATTTAACAATACATTTTAAGTAACAATCAAAACAAACATCGTAGGTATGGTAACACGATACAATACAATACAATAGGTAACAATGATCCAAATAGAGTGTAAGAGTGAAACAGTATCACAACTGCACCACAACCCATGTTGGTAATAAGGACAACCCTTACATCTTGTTTCGTCCTGATATTCTGAAGTTAGAAGTTTAAAATTTTGAAATTTTTTAAACTCGTAGAGTTGTAGTTATGCTTGGACATATATTTTCTTTAGATATTTTTGAAATTTTAGGTGTGCAGAATTAGTTTTTGAAGACTTGAAAATATTTAATATCAAAACAAATTTCATATCAATCAGGTATTTGACAATGAAATTTTCGAACCAAAATCTATTAATAAATGCTAACTTAATCGTGATTTCCATATCTTTTTCTTTATATACTGACTGAATCATCATTTATTTTTTTTTAAACAAGATCGCATATTATGCTGTTACAAGATTTTAAACTATGATTGTAATAAAATAAAAAAATTGGAGCTTTAATTTAAATAATAGAAGTACCTCTTTTTTATAAAAAATTATACCACGTTGTGATTTTTTATTTTTTTTTATGTTTTATATCCACGTTGTGATTTATAAGCGCTATATTAATTTTATTTTAAGACAATAGTTATTCAATTTAATAATCCTTTTTGTTTTATAGCAATTTAAATCAATCACTGTAATTCCTTAATTTTACGTTTCAGCATTGGTAAAACTTATCCTTCAAACTTTCCAATTTTCTTTCTTCCACAGAACAATATTCCCACTCAATAACTTTTTTTTTTTGTTGCTAATTTTAGTCACCTTCTTCTGTTAAGAGAACTATTCAATTTGTCCTTCTGCGTATGTCAACTCTATTTTAAATTAGGCAAATATTGCAAGAAGTATTCAATTTATTTTGTTTCAATGCTAATCCTAATTTACCAATAAAAGAAAAAAGTTAAGAGAACCCAATCCGTCAAATGCCAGCAAATTCCAAGTGCGTTGTATCTTAATTTATACCAAAGACAAAAAAAAATTCCCCTACTGTTTATTGTTTCTTCATTTATTTTTTTCAAAATTGAGAGTAAGAAAGAGCAAATGAAAAATAAGACTACAGGATGAGAAATCAAATCATCACGGATAAAGTGGAAAAAAACATGGATAGTCGACTATTAGAACTATTAATATTCCAATTAATTATATTCATCAATATACACTCTTTTTGTTTTTATTACGTACCCGCGTGTTGCGCGGCAATATATGAACTTATGATTAATTTAATTTCATGAAACATTAAATAATTGAAATATTTTTACATATTTGTTCTTTATTATTTTTATGTTGTATTGATATATTAATATATTTTTCATATTAACAATTTATTAGTTAAAAATATTTCACATGAAATGTAAAATATCATAAGATTAAATGACATGTTAGTATATTTTGCATATATGTTTTTTTCAAATTCAAAAGATTCAAAATATTCTTTACATTCTTAAATTTGTGTCAAACGATAATAGAAAAGTAATTTAAAATAGAGTCAATATAAAATCATGTCATAATAATAGAAACATGTACATGATATATGCATTTTTTATTAATCATTGAAAATAATTAATTACAAATAGTGAGTAAGTTACTTTTAAACTTTCTAAAAAGAAAATAATAATTTAATTTTTTATCAATGATTATATGTCGAGGAACTTATCAATTTTTCTAGTATTCTATTATAGT